TGTGTGTGTGTGTGTGTGTGTGTGTGTGTGTGTGTGTGTGTGTGTGTCTGTGTATGTGTGTCTCTGAGTGTGTATGGGTGTGTGTCTGTGAGTCTCTCTGTGTGTGTCTGTGTGTCTGTGTGTGTCTGTGTGTCTGTGTGGGTCTTCGTAGTGTGTAAGGATGAGAAGAAAGAAGGGGGACATATAGGTGCCCTTGAAGAGCTGTAAAAGGCAGGAAAACAGATTTTCCCTCACATGTCCGTTAAGAACCCAACCCTAGAGAACTGCAGGGCTGGAGGTGGAACAGAAGCTCAGTTGATAAAGTGTTTGCACTCAAGCCTGGGAACCTGAGTCTGGATGCCCAGCATACATGTAAAGTCAGGCACTATGCCCCATGTCTATAGCTCAGCACTGACTTTAGGCAGGTCAGAGGCAAGAAGATCTCTTGAGCATGCTGGCCAGCTGCTCCAGTGGTATTCGGTAAACTTGGGTTCAGCGAGAAAACCTGCCTCGAAAAAAAAAAAATGGGGAATGAGTAAGACACGTAGTATTGACTTCCACTTTCCACCCCATGCACGTGCACCAAAGAATGCATGCCCACACATACAAGATATACAAATACACACAGAGTACACACAAGCAAAGAGATAAAAGATTTGAGGGCTGCCCCTCATGTTTATCCTGTCTTTCTCTCGATGTCGGTTCATACTGTGTATGCAGAGGCAGCAGACCAGAGCTCACATGTACATCCAATACAACACTAAGAAAGCCAGCAGGGATAGAGGGAGAGGGAAAGGACCAGGTATGCTGCAGGGGACAGGAGAAAGAGAAAACACAGAGGCCAAGAAAGCAAGGGCCAGGCCACTGGTGGTAGAGAATGGCACTGCTAGTGTGTTTTGGGGAGTAGCCACGCCTCCTGTCTGTGGCTCCATCACCGCTGTGTTCCTCCCTGGGCTGCTCATGTCACGTTGGAAAAGATTGTTCTTGGCCTCTTCCATCCTTTCACCCTTCTGGGCAAATCGGAAAGTAGGAAGTCAGCCATAGAGACACGAAAGCACCAGGAATGCACGCTGCCTAATGCAAGGTGCCAGCTTCCTTCTGGAAAGACAGTTAAGACTAGAGGTAGGCAAAGGTTGAGCTGCAGGGAGGGAAGAATGAGGAGAGACTGGGGCTCTGTGAGAATACTCTCTGACACATCAATGGTTGGTGCCTGTCGTACATACTAGTCAGGATCCTCTTGGGGCCCAGCAAGCAGGAACACTGGAATAGCAATAGACTCTGGGTAGTTGAAATGATGGAGACCAATGATGGAAGGGGATGTCTCAGCGGGCCCATGCTGAGGCATCTCGTCCCCCTGAGGGACCAGCCACACGACCACAACGATATAGCATAGAATAGAGTTTATTCAGGGCATGGGGAGGGGAGCCAGGAGGGTAGGAGAGAGAGAGAGAGAGAGAGAGAGAGAGAGAGAGAGAGAGAGAGAGAGCAGAGAAGTGGAGGCTGGCCATGACCACGTGGAGAGAGGTGGAAGGGAAGGGGGGAGGGGCAGAGAGAGGCTACAGGCAAAAGAGTAAGAGATTAAGAGGGTAAGAGAGAGCGAGAGGAGGGGGCAAGCAGCCCCTTTTATAGTGGGCAGGCCTACCTGGCTATTGCCAGGTAACTGTGGAGGTGGAATTTAGGCAGAATACTAACATTCCCCCGTTTTGGTTTAATTAAAAAAAATTAGGAAAATTAGGAAGAGGTGATAGCGAAGGAGGAATAGGATCATCGTGATATCTGGGTACTTCCTGCTGGCATTGGGGGTGATGTGTCTTTAGGGGAACCTAGAAGAGTGAGTTTGAGGGATGTTAGTCCAGTCTTAGGAGAGCTGGCTGTTTTCTGCTGTTCAGGATCTATGGAGCCATCTGAGGATAAGCCAGAAGGAACAAGTCTGGTAGAAGCAGCTGTGTGTGTGACAGGAGATGGAACATCTAGAGGTTGCTTCTCTGGAGCTGTTTTGGATGCGCTTGGACTTGACAAGATGGAGTCGTTAGACCCAGAGCATCCAGTTTAGCCCACTGCATTTGTTCGCATACAATCCAAGCTGTATCTTCTAGGAGTCTGGTGACCAAGTCTTCTGAAACCATCTTGGGTCAACTGTTAGAGGCTTTGGGAATTCTGTCAGCCATAAACTATTTAAGTTAGTATTAGCAGACTTCTGACAATAATGAGAGCCATAAGGATTGGTTGTAACTGAACAGAATTTAATAGCAGTAGTAAAAATCTACTAAGACAGAGCCTTTCCTATCTTGTCTTAAGTAACTTTGGTGGATTGTGTAGGCAGAGAAAAGCACATTTTTGTATTAGCAAAGAAACATTTGGCTAGGACCAGAATAAAAAAGCTAGCAACAATGGCATACGATCGAGTTGGGGCTATGAGTCACAGATGCTGCGGATCAGGTCTGCAGTGGAAACGACAGGGTAGACTTCCTACTAGTGGGCAGAAGTCCTAGTGTCTCTGGCTGCTAGAGTGGGCAAGGAAAAGCAAGCATGTCCCGTATCATAGCAATGTTCACGTTAGTTGTTTTTGTAGCAGAAGACACTGCTAACACTCACTTTACAGGTCCCAGGTAGAGAGGGAGACGGAGCGCCTCCCTCGCATGCTCGGGCAGCCAAGCCCTTTGTGGAGGTGGAGTTTCGACAGAATACTAACAGTTGTAGTGAAGCATCTCTGTGGGTCAGCATTTGTAGCATATGAACCATAAGGTTGATGCTTAGAGTGGGAAAGACATACGTCAGAGAAAGATGTGGAGCAATGCTCTACATGCCTCTCCCTCAGTGTGGACACAAACCTAAATCACCCCTGAAAAGAGCCACAAATGACGTCTGAGGCCATACAAGATTAGGCCCAACAACACCTTATCTTGGGCAGGGGAAGCCCCTGTGACCCACTTCTCCCTGAAGATGTATATAGAATTAATGCTTGACTGGGGAAGAGGAATGGTTTCCTTCAGTGATGTAGCCTCTGGCAAGTCACCCATGATGATGTACACAAAGCTCACCCATTATCAAGTAAACCACACTAACAAGACTATTGGGTTAACAAAAGGTAGGAAGGAAGGGAGGGGAGAGAGAGAGGAAGAGAAGGAGGGAAGGAAGGAGGGAGGGAGGGACAGATGGAGGGAGGGAGGGAGGGAGGGAGGGAGGGAGGGAGGGAGGGAGGGAGGAAGGGGCATATAAGTAGAAAGGGCTAAGCTTGGAGGAGAGTCTTGAGGCATTTGAAAGAATAAGAGAGAGTAAAGTGGGAGACTACACTGTATACATGTATAAAGATATCACTTCAAATTATCGTAATTAATATTTTCTCAAAAAAACATTCTAGATGAAATCTAGAGATTAGACAGATGGCTGAATTAAGGTCTTGCAAAATAAGGGCATCGCCTTGATATCCAGAACCCAGAGACAACAGAGGGTGTGGTGGCGCGTGCTTGTAACCCCAGACCTGAAGAGCAGGAGACACACACAGATACCTGGAGCACCCTAGCCAGCCCCCCTAGTGGACTTGTCAAGCTCTGGGCTAATAAGATGCCCTGTTCCAAAATGGAAAGAAAAAGGAAGTACGGTGTGCTGTTACTTACCTGCAGTCCCAGCCCTGGGAAAGCAGAGGCATGAGGAGAAGCAGTACAAAGCCTGGACCGGGATGCTGTCTATAAAAAATGCAAGTAAAGAAAAGGAACGAAAATCAGGGCAAAGGGGGTGGATGGTGCCTGGAAATCAACTCCTTTGTCTCCTGACCCGCATACTTACATGTATACAAGTGAATATGCTCAAGTCTGCACATACGCACACACAGAGCAATACACACTAACATGCATATATACTCACACACCAACACACACATACAGAGAGAGAGGGAGAGAGAAGTAAAATCCAGTTTATAACTTTTTTTTTAAAGAGCAGCATGACCAAATTTAACCAGAATTCGTGCTCTTCCCACTGGCCCCCTGGCTTTGGGTCCCCTGTCTCAGCCACTCTTGCCAAGATGGAGCCTGAAAGGCTGGAGCCCTCTGATCCCCTGATCAATTACAGGGACAAAACAAGGCCAGTAGAGGAGCAAGACAAGGGGAGAGAGACATTCCCAGAGCACGTGATGTCCATGGAGCCAAACAACCATGACAGTCCACGGGTGGGAGTCTCGGAGAATGCAAAGGGATTCTCAGACCAGCCTTGACAGTGGTCACCAGGGCCAGGAGACACAGGACAGAAGAGCTGAGGCTCCCACAGCCCAGCAGCTCCCAGGGGATGGGGCAGGGGCAGCACATTTTAGCTAACTTTGAAAAGGGGCAGAGTATAGCCTTGACATAGAGTTAAGTGAGAAAACTTCTCTGGAAGAAAGAATCTTTCAGAAACTTTTGCACTCTCCAGGTGTTTCCAGCTCCTGGGAATGGCACATGCCTGACAAGGAAACACATTTTCAAATAGAAAACATAGGGTATCCGCACCGCTCAGGTTCTATGGCTCAGTTTCTCCCTGGTGTGCTTGATGAGTGTGTATGACTTCCCTTGCCTATGTCTTATCCTGCAACTCATTTTAGGTGAGATCCGTCCAGATGCCAGCCCCATCCCTGAGAGCAGAGGGCACCCAGCAGTGTAGACATCTGAGCCTCCCTCTGTGCCTCTATCTCAACAGGAGACTTTTCTCTGCATTTCTCCCCGTTGGTTCTGATCAGGACCAAACAAAGGAAATTAATTACCTGTAACAGCCATGTCCCCTCAGAGTCTTTCCACCCACTCCCATGCCCAAGCCATAAGCCAGGACTCTGTCTTTCGGCCCTACCTACTAGAGTGAGGAGTGCAGCTGGAGACACAGAGAGACCCTTGTGTAGGACCCTACT